AGTTCAGATATTCCTTGAATCGAATCGGGTCATATCCGAATTCAAATCCAATTAACTATTCGGTATGAATAAGATATCTGAATTCGACCGATTAGATATTCGAATTAATCGAATTCGATTCAATTATATCAAATCTCAAATTTGAAATCGGATTTTCGAATACTGTTGACACCCCAACCTCTACATAGTATTATGCAGGGGGAGATGTTCCCAATTCACGAGGGCAATGTATTGTGGGTAGACGTGGGCAAGTGATCCATAGTCTAATTACAAGGCCAATAAAATATCAAATATAAGATTTTGATTCGTTAAAAACAAAATAACATATAATAAAAAATTAGAAAAAAAGAAAATTTTTAGACTATTGTGTTTTAGTATATATAGCAGGCCCTACATGATTTGTTAAAAATAAATTAATGCTTAGCTTAGAAGGAGTACAAATACAAATATGTACAGTATAAATATATATAATAATACAAAATACAAAGTTTTGCACTCTACATATTTGTATTTGTACTCCTTCCAAACTGAGCCTAAAGTACAAATACCTATTTGACATTCTCAATTGAATAAATTCCATCCTAATCCAATTCAAAGCAATATTTTTTAGGTTATAGGCCAAACACAATCCAAGTTGCATCTCTAGCAAGGGAAACCCATTTCTTATGCTTTTTTCCTTATCTTTTTTAACTTGTACTAATTTTCATTAATTATTATTTTACTAGTTTCCATTAATCTTTAATGAAGATTTAAATAAACAAAAATCATTTTTAAGACTAATAAAGTATTATCAATATTCACAAGCTTCCTATTAATATTTACGAATTTTTATTTATTTTAAATGAACTCTACATGGGTATTAATTTGTGTGTGACCAATTTTGTTTATTTTTTATTGTTAGGTAAGCTTGTATTTATTTGTATTAATAATTTTATTTTTATCCCTTAGGCTGCATTTGGAATCAATGTAAACCGTTATCGGTGTAAAAATACATTGATAACATTTTACACTGAATCGTGAAAGTGACTATTGCTTTTTGAAAAACGTGATGGGTGGAAAAGTGTAAAGTTTTACATTGATAAAATCGATGTAGTATTTACATCGATTATCAATGTAAAACTTTATGCTTGATGAGGTTTTACATTGATTCATGATGTAAAACTCCACTCCATCCAAATGCACGCAAAACTGAATCAGAGTGAAGTTTTATGTCGATCATAATTACACGCTCCTTCCAAATGCCTACAAAACTGAAGCACTGTAAATTTTACATCGGTTCTTGATTTACATCACTTCCAAATGCAGCCTTACTGTTAATAATTTAGATTGTCTTTATTACTTTCAAACATTAATTTAAACTAATAAGAATGAATTAGTAAAATGAGTTTATTACTTTAAATTAACCACCTAATTGATTACTACTTTTATAATACCAGTTGATTGGGAGAGGGTATGAAGATCGTAGTGTTGATCACCTTTGATCTTTGAAGATGCTTCGTTAGGATTGGGCATACATGTCAATTAAGTCATTACTGAATACTAACCATGCAAAACAATCACTTCTGAAAAAGATGGAATATTAAACTAAGGGGGCGTTCTTTTTTTTTTGGATTTTGAGAGGAGGGGGGGGAGTTGGTCAATGAGAGTTTGATTCCCATTGACCAAAAAACCCATGTTATTTTTTCATATTTGTGTGGGGACCATGGAAAGTTTATTTTTATGGGTATCACTTACTTGGGTGGATAAAGAACTTTTCCACCCGGGGGAAGTTACCAATAATTGAATGGGATAAAAATGCCCCTCTTAATAATGGATTTTTATGGTTAAAATGGTATTTACATGAAAAATAAAAGAACATGGGTAAATGCACTTACCCGGGTAAGTCTTTCTTAGAAAACACTTACCCAGATAAATAACTTACCGAAAAGCGAATGAGGCCTAAATGAGAATGAATTATTTGTCAAAGCTAAAAACAAAAGAACACCTCTATTTATCCTTTTAAAACTTGACATTAGGATTGGATAATTAACAAAAAAAAATAAGTTAACAAAATAATATCTGAATTACTACTAAATAACAAAAATCATTAACAAAACCACTATTCATTAATTAAGCATAAAAATCAAATAACTATAACTTACTTTATTTTTTATTTTCAACAGAAATTACTGCTGAATATAAATTACATTTTTATATTTAAGAGAAATTTCCCTTATTTATATTAGACATAATTTAAAATAATTACTGTTATCTACAATTATCTCTTGATTATAAAAAAAAACAACACAATTACTAATTCCCACAACCAAACATCGTCGTTTACAAGTAATCCTAAATTCCTAATTCCCACAACAATAATAATAGCATCAAGAGCAACACACCACTAACAACTTACACCAAATCGAACATAGACTTAAGGCTATCTCTCTCTTTAGGTTTTTCAAGTGGTTGGTAGGGACCCCTTAAACACAAGATATCAACCCCTTTAAACACCACTAACAATCCTTGATTTGAAAATAGACTCTCTATTTTGAGGGCAGAAAACACAATATGAACTATTGTTTTTCATTTCATCATATTCTCTCTTGTTCATTCTTATATTTAAGATATTAATTCCTATTTTCTCTAATTGATTCATATATCTAATGCACTTTTGTGTTTTCTTTTGCCATAAAATCCAATAATTAACTCTATAATCCATGAATTTAATGACATGAAAACAAATATATTTTTCATTAATTCTTGCCTTTAAAAGCCATTTTTTTAGAATCTACCCATAATGAAAATCATTTTCCATCCAAGCACTGGGTTAACAAATCAACCATCTTGGTTAAATGGATCGCTTCATTTTGTCATTATCATATAATACAAATTTAGAAATGGGTAGAAATGCAAATGAATTATATCATATGATGAGGGGTGATTTGGCCCGACCTAGTGAACAACGGATACATGGACTCAATCAGGTGACTGGACACATATCAGCATCCTCAACTACTTGGCAGGTTAACTTTGTGCACCTGATCATCTTGACAGGTTGGGTCTACACCCCGACCACCTCGGCAGGTCACTCCACTTCGGGAACCTTGGCCACCTTTTGTAGTACTTAGGCGCGGGTATCTCAGAAGACCAAGCTTATCAGGCTGACACGTGGCAGATATCTAGAAGACTGACAGTTGTCTTTGAGCTTCTCGAGGGCACACCGCATAACCGTAGGAATTAATCTTATCCCATCCGAATCGGAAGGAAATGGTAACTCTCGACAGTTAGCAGAATCCCTGCCTTCTAGAAACAAACCCCAATGGCTTAGGGAAAAGATCTTGGGAGCATTTCGCGAGACCTATGGCAATCCACCTATATATGGGCATCAACCACCTGAAACCCAGGTATGTGCGATTATTTACTCTCTAGCTCTCTAGCACACAATTTCCAGCTCACACACCCAAGTACTGACTTAAGCATCGGAGCGGCCTCGCTGGGTTAGCCACCCCGGGTTCTCTGATCTATTTGTCTTGCAGATTGACCGTCCCACTAAGCAAGTGAAATCGACATTACTCTCCAGCTAGGAGCATCTAGGTCGTGCACAATCATCATACAATACAAGTTTAGAAATGGGTAGAAATGCAAGTGAATTATAGAAAAATCTAAGAATTTCTCTAATATTAACGATTTATCAATATTAAATAAAAATAAGTGTGATAAATAACAATTACTTTATTAAAAATAAAAATATTTATAAATAAGAAAAAATATGTTTATATGATATTCATTGATGTTGAGAAATCATATGATAGAATTTAAAGAGAAATATATTATAGGTTTAGAAAAGGAAAATAGTTAAAAGTACATGGATGTAATTAAAAGAATAAGTATAAATAATAAGGTTGCAACTTGGGCCGGGTTGGCCCGAACCCAACCCGAATTGGGTTGGGTTGATGCTCGGGTTAGGGTTAGGGTTGAAATTCATGAACCCGACTTAATTTCGAGTCGGGTTAGGGTTGACCCCTTGGGCAACCCGACCTAACCCGAATCCGACTCTATAATATATGTCATATATAAATATATGTTATATATTATATATCATACATTGATTTTTTTAGATGTACGATAGTTGTATAGCCCTCACTACATGCTATCATGTCTTTCTTTTAAGATAATCACTTTACTTAATCCTAAATGAAAAGACTAAAACCTTAATATCATATTTTATGTTTTTTGAATGTTTTATTCTTATCTCCTCTCTAATGTTTGGCACCTATAAAAGATCTATCATAAGTCATAACTCATAGTAAATTATAATCGTTTTAAACACTTATTTTTTTATGATTTTGTACTAAAAGAATCAATAAAAACATCAACAAACAAATAGTAATAGAGTTAAGATTTGAGATTAAATAGTTTTATGAGATTTTAAGGGATGGAAAGAAGGTTGGGTTAGAGTTAAACGAATTTAGTTTGAGTTAGGATTAAGGTTGGATAGATCATATTGAAAGTCGGATTGAGTTAAGGTTAGGATTGAGGATTTAAAACTTAAAATTGAAATAGGATTGACATCAACCCGACCTAACCCGACTTGCAGCCCTGATAAATAAGTGTACAAAACCAATGTTAGAAGAGACGTCAGATTTTACCATTACAAATTCTTCCCGAATTTGAATTCGCACCTTAATCCAAATGTTAATTTTGACGAGGTCGATTTGTTCGCAACAAAAAGCCATTCCAATATGACCTGTGTCCGTACATTGCAGACATCATGGATCCCAGTCTTATAGTTACGGTGGATACTCGTGGTTGGATGTGCTGACACAGATCAAGATGGAACAGTGTTGAAATAGTTTTTGTTGTCAGCCCATCCCAGCTCGCTTTTGTCACGGGCCGTGGTGCTAGCACTATACTCTGTGGGTCCCGACGAAGCAACGTGTCAAAAACCTATTGAACTTGACACGACAGCAACCTCTCCACTCCTCCGCTTTGTCAACTCGAACCAAACCTTCAAATACTTCTGTTCGGTCCGAAAGTCGGACTCTCTGGGGAGTCTGAAAGAAGTATACCAGAAAGAGAAATTGGAGATGCGTCGCCACAAATTCAATCCCTACTTACTTCTTTTCGCTCTCCTTTCCTTCTCTCTCCTTCCTCTCCATGCCATAGCGCGCCCTTTCGTTCTGGTCCTTACCAAAGACGACCTCATCGACAACCCTTCTCCCTCCGACGACGACTCCTCTGCCGGCGACCCTGAGTGGGATGAGTTCAGCGACTCGGATAACAACTCCGAGGAAGAGCTTGATCCCGGCTCATGGCGCCCGATCTTCGAGCCGGACGTCGACGTCCCGCCGAAAACCGAAGAGGAGGAGATTTATTACTCCGGCGTCCGGAAGATGATCTCCGCGGCTACTTCTGGCGATCCTAGAGCGATGGGGGAAGCCGCTTCATTGATCGAGTCAGCTGCGGTGGCCGGGTTCCCTCATGCCCAGTCCGCTCTAGGTTTTCTGTTCGGGACCGGGCAATTGAGAGAGCAGAGCGGTGCCAAGGCTTTCCTGTATCATCACTTTGCCGCCGAAGGCGGCAATATGCAGTCCAAGATGGCCCTCGCGTATAATTACTTCCGACAAGATGTATGAGAACCTTAGGAATAAACTTGCTCTTTACTTATTTCAACCTTAATTCATCTTTGTTGGGCCAATTTGATTAGGGCTGTTCTTGTTTGGTTGCAGATGTATGAGAAAGCTGTTAAGCTTTACGCCGAATTGGCAGAAGCAGCAGTGTCGAGTTTCTTGATTTCGAAGGATTCGCCGGTAATTGAGCCTATTAGGTTGCATAATGGAGCAGAAGAGAATAAGGAAGCTTTGCGGAAGTCGCGAGGAGAGGAGGATGAAGATTTCCAGATTACGGAGTATCAGGCGCAAAAGGGGAATGCCGGGGCAATGTACAAACTTGGAATGATTTATTATTTTGGATTGAGAGGGGTGAGACGTGATCACGGGAAAGCGTTGTCGTGGTTTCTGAAGGCTGTGGAGAAGGGAGAGCCGAGGTCGATGGAACTTCTTGGTGAGATATACGCGAGGGGAGCAGGGGTTGAGAGGAATTACACCAAGGCGTTCGAGTGGCTTACTCTTGCATCTAAGCAACAACATTTTTCTGCTTATAATGGGATGGGGTATTTGTATGTCAAAGGCTATGGAGTGGAAAAGAAGAACTTCACTAAGGTCAGTTCTTATTGGGGTGTTTGTATTCCGCACGCTTTCTTCAGCTTTCAGACTGTAGTCTAATTTTGTCTGCCATTGTTTGTTTGAAGGCTGCATGTTTTCCCCTTCATTTAATTCCCTCTCCTTCCAAATTCTTTTGCTTACATATTCTGCTTTACCATGGCTATTTGACTGGTATTAGCTGCTCTTATAGAGCTGAAAAGCAGATTATAGGTGTAATGCCGTGGTACATAAGGTTACTAATATTCTAGACAGTCCATGGAGCCATAAATTTTACCATGTTAGTGCTAAATTCTAATGCTTTTTCACTGGCCATAGAATACAATAAATTCTTTGTGCAGTGAAATAATGTTCTAAGAGTTTCTTTGAAAACTCATTGTATACTCTCAGCAGATTATTGCATTGCTTTTTTACTTGTTCCACAGATTTCTGAATGGGATTGCCCTGTCTTGATTGTCTAAGGCTAATGATCAACCATTTAACATAAGTTGAATAAAAATGTGAATCCCACTTTTCCCCAGGACATTGAAACAACAAGGCAAGATTGTCTGATATGCCCCTTTGGAAAGAATGCATGAAATTTGATGGTTCTTCTGGGGTGAACTCCATGGGAGGAGTCATCAGAGATATTACTGACAATACTGTGCTGAGCCATTCCAGGGACCAGGCTGTGGGGTGGGGGTGGGGGGATGGATTGTCAATGACCTTTCTGACTGCTCCAAGATGAGCTTGTTGTTTATTGCACTGGTTTGTCATGAGGTTGTGACTTGGGAGGGGTTAGTGGTGGAAGGATATTGTAGATTGGTAATTGGTTGGAAGTCTTCAAGCAATGAAGGTCTATAGGAACTTCCTCATGATATTCTAGAAGCAAAGCCATTGATCTCCCAACCTGACATTTCTTCTAGGTGGGTCTCTGGAGTCAATCTTGCTGAATCTAGGAAGAGAAGGTGTCAGCAGAGCTAGTTTACAATGGGTCATTTTGGAGCCAATATTTATGCTGTATTCCATTCCTTTGTTTGGTGATTCACAAGAGTATTAGAGCCAATTGTAGGGGCTTATCTTTTTGCTTGTGTTAGCATTGTTACTCTCTTTATTTGATTACTGGAGCTCCTTGACATTGTCAATGATTAATAGGAAAAAAAAGGAAATGCATGAAACATTCAGTAGGTTTCATGATCTCTTTGGAAACATCTAATAAAATTGGAATGATACAAAGAAGATTAGCATGATCCCTACGCAAGGTTTGCAACAAGGATATACTATCTTGCCTCCGCTCTTTGTTTTGGTGGTGGAAACATTCAGTAGGTTTGTTCTAAAAGGGGAGAGCTGGGTCTGATTGGAGGATTTTGGGTTGAGGTATGCTGGCAATGTTTTTATTTTTATTTATACATCTATTGAACAAGGTCTGAATTTGAGGCCAGCCCCCAAGGGTTTTGAGTTGTTCTCAAATCTGAAGCTAAACTTAAATAAAAGCATGATGATTGTAGTCAGGACATCGATTCAAGCCTACTTGAACAGTGTGCTGCTGTTTTGGACTGTCACATAGGTAATTTTCCACTTACATATCTTGGTATTGTTCCTACTGGAGTGATGGCATTGGCTGTCTCCACTAAGCAGCAGTTGGTTGTCAAAAGATTAGAAAAGTATATGGCTGGTCGAAAAGGCAGATGTTTATCTTGGGAGGAAGAATTAAGTTGATCAAGAGTGCTCTTTGCCTATTTATTAGTTGTCCTTATTGATGATACCAGCATTAGTAGCTAATAATATTCAGAAAATCCAAAGGGACTTTTGTATGGGATGGAAAGGAGAGAAAGAAGATATTTCATTAAGTGGAAGTGGGTGTCTACCAGAAAGGCATGAGGATTGGGTTTGAGAAGAATTAGAATAATGAACAAGGCATTGTTTTTTTTTTTTGATGAATAAGGCATTGTTAGGAACAATGTTTTTGAACTGTCGTTGACCCGGACTGTTGGAACGTTCGGCCCAGGAACTGTCCAGGCAACCGCTTCCGTTTTACCCCAAACCCGGTCCCTGGCCAAAAACCATTGAATTGGCGGTTGAACCATCGACCCGTTCAACGGTTTTTGGCCGTTTTTTATTTTTATTATTTGGGCAAATTTCTTAAACTACCCTTATGGTTTAGCTAATTGACTAACTCTACCCTGACTGTTTACATAGTCTTAAAGTACCCCTAAGTTTTCTGACAATTGTCTAAAACCTCCCCTACCATTAACTTATGACATCACGTGACTAATATATTTTCCAAAAATTCCTAAAATACCCTTTCTAACAAATTGTCTAAGTCTACTCCATCTCCATCTCCATCTCCATCTCCATCTCCATCTCCGTCTCCGTCTCCAGCATCATTCCAGTCACCCCAAGTTGTACTGTTCACCCGAATGGAGGACAAGAAAGGGGAGAAGGCCAAGGAAGGAGAGGAGATGGTTTCCATCTGGTTCAGCACTCGGGCTGATGAAGCATATGCATATGCAGAGGCGTGCATTATCCATTTTGGCAGTTGTGCTTTGAAGCACACCCAGGTTTAGGAGCAGTTCCTTTGAAAGAGCTACTGCAATGGTGGTCCTAGAATTAGCTGCACTATGGGCAGAGAAAAAATATTACCAAATTGAACACAATGCATGAAATCACTGAAATTATCAAACTGAAAAGCAAAAATATTGGTTTAAACAAGAAGTGGAATGAAGATCCTCAGTTGGAATGTGAGGGGAATTGGGAGTGCAAGGAAGAGAGCGACAATAAAAGAGGTAATAAAACAGTTTGACCTAGACATTGTGCTGTTGCAAGAGTCTAAAAGAATGGAGTTTAATAACAATTAGGCATGGAGTGTTTGGAAAGCCACGGGGGTCAGTTGGGTGGTTGCTCCCTCTAGGGGTGCATCCGGGGGGATTGTAACAATGTGGAAGAGGGATGTGGTTGAAGGCCTGGAGGAGTTGATCAGAAAGTTCTCGGTTTCCGTGAAGTTTAAGCAGCTTGAGGGTGATTTTATGTGGGTTCTCACAAATGTTTACGGAC